AAGGTGAAAGGTACCACAATTCACTTAGAATATCTTAGGTGACACATATGGGAATCTTATAGGACTCTGGGCAGAGCTGTTGTTGGACCTCACAGGTGCTGAACGTGAACACCGGAAACTGGAGCTGTAGGAGATGTTCTGTGCAGCCGGAGGATCTGGGCTATCTCATTGTCCCCTAGACAGTGGCACGTCACTGGTTGCCATCTTTGTTATAGTGACTCATTCTACTCTGTCTCTACTTCTACTGCTCCTTTGTTACCAGTTGCTTCCTCCTCTACCTTCTATATCTTTCTCTGCCTAATGGCTTCACTTTACCATAGTGTGCTCATGACTTACTCCTCTTAGGGCTTCTTCCTACTGCCTTACTTTTTAGCTTCTACTCCCACAAGGTGATTGATTGATTTTCCCTTTCCATTTCCAGTTCAAATTCTTGGAAGAAAATGGGTGTAGTAGTCACCATCATCCCTGTTTGGGCAGAGTGCTCACATCAGGGCACCTTTTGGGCCTGACTGCCTTTTTGTTATTTGGTTCTGTGACGGGGGTTGGATGCACACATCACGGTTTGGGCTGCTGCCTCAGCTAGTGAGACTGGCTGGAGCAGCTCTCTTAGAACTAAAGGGAATCTGGCACAGCAAGACAGAGTGACCTTACTCACATTCTTTTTGCTTTGATTTTTTAAAAAATATGCTGCCCTGGCAGGTGTGGCTCAGGGGGTTGAGGGCCTGCCTGTGAACCAGAAGGTCACAGGTTTGATTCCTGGTCAGGACACATGCCTGAGTTATGGGCCAGGTTTCCAGCTGGGGGCATGTGAGAGGCAACTGATTAATGTTTCTCTCCCTCTCTTTCTCCCTCCCTTCCCCTCTCTCTAAAAATAAATAAATAAAATCTTTATTTAAAAAATACACTGATCATTAAAGTAACATATTTTTCATGTTTTTTCCCAAGGCAATATTCTCCTGACTCTTTCATTTAAAATAGTCATGTGAGATAGAAACAAAGCATAGATTGGTGGTTGCCAAAGACTGGAGGTTGGAGGAAATGTAGAGATGTTGGTCAAAGAGTACAAACTTCCAGTTCTAAGATAAATACGGTGGATGTAATGTACAGCGTGGTGATTATAGTTAACAATACTGTATCAAATATGGGAAAATTGCTAAGAGTAGATCTTAGATGTTTTCACCACACACATATACAGACATACACAGAAAGGAAAAATGAGGCGATAGATGTGTTACGTAACCTTATTAATCATTTCAACATATATATATCAAATTATCAAATTGTATACCTTGAACCTACACAATATTATATATCAATTATATCTCAATAAAGCTGGAAAAATATTTATTTTACCTCGCTATTTTCTGGCTGATTATAATAGAAATATATTTGAACTAAATTTCCTTGAAGTTCCTGAAATTTAATATTATAGAAAAAATGTTCATGCTTTAAAATGTTCAACATTTTAATAAACCTATTTGCAAGAAGGTAAATGCTTTTTAATAGTTAATGTAGAATTGTGTTTACAGCTATCAAAGGCTAGCAAAGATGGGTAGGGGAAGTCTGGAATATGCTGACTTTAATAATGTAGGCAAAAAGCATTTCCCTTTTAAAACAGAATGTTCTCAGGCATTTTCCTCATGCTTTGTTTCTAAAATATTAGTAGTTATATGTAATGGTTAACTGCAGATTGTTATTGTTGAAAATTATTTTTATATGCACAAATAGCGATAAAAAGGAGATTGGATTATAAAAATAAAATTGTGTTTTGGTTTTACTCTAGAGGAAAGACAATTTACTCTATATCATCTCACCACTGCAAAACAGGAAGTGAAGTCAGGCAGTCAACTGCTTCCTGTCTTCTTGCACAAAGGAAACAGATATGTAAATATACTAGGCAAACTTCAGTTCTCTTTCCACTTAATCCATCCCGTGTACGGTCCTGATTTGCCATTACTAAAATGTTATGCTGTCATTTCTACGTTCTTAACCCTGGGTGTATGTTAGAATCACATACAGGCCCCACCCCCAATTTTCTGGTTTATTTGGTGTGAGTGTGGTTTGGGTATTTATATTTTGAAAAGACATCCTAAGTAACTCTATGAAGCTGCTGGGGAAAAGGACAGAACCTGAACATTGGGATTTGCGTTCAAGGAGCCTATTTTCTATCCCCAGCCTAGCTTGCAGGCTCTGGCCAGCCGGAATGGCTTCTGGTGCCCTCTGTCTATTGCTTGTGCTTCTCCTCTTCTGTTCCTTTTCCCAGCATTCCAAGAGGTTCTTCTTCACACGTTTCCGCCCCCTCCCCCCGCCAATTCAAATTCCTGTCCCTTTTTCAAGACCGGGATCAATATTACCTCCTTTATGAAGCTTTCTCTGACTGCCTTTGACTACAACGCTTGCTCTCTCTATGGAACCCACACAGCAGTTATTGCCTAGGAAATCATCTGAATACTAAATCAGTCATGCACTGCTTTGTGCCATCTCTTCTATTGTTGTGTTGAATGATTAATCTTTGCTTAACTTTTTACCTGTTATCCAGCTACGTATCTTGGAAGCTTCTAGCATTCCTTTGTATCCTTGTCAAGCTGAATGCCTTGCACAGTGCAGAAAGTCAGTATTTGCCCTTCCCTTCCAGTCCTACTTCCACAGGTGTGGCTCAGGCCTTCATCTCTCCTGGAGTTTTGCCCTGGTCCTAATGGGTCTTCCTGATACTAAACTCTCTGGCTCTTTAAATCAGGCCAACACATGGCTCACATGGATAACAGCCAGTGAAACTGATTGTGTATATGTACTCCTCTGTTCACTCTTGCTCTCTCCCTGTTTTATGAGCTAGCTAGCTGACCCTTTCTTTGGCTTTCTTTCTCTTTTTGGCCCCTAACTCTCCTACCCTCTATTCTGCCAGGACTTGATAGCAGAATTCAATTTCTCTGGTTTTGACTACTTGCATTCTCTAAGATGTCAGGGTATAACACACTTTTGACATCTTCCTGTCCTTGTCCTTTCGGTGAACACTTCCCCTGTCCAGGTTCTGGCCCAGCTGACCTAAATTATCCTGCCTATCCTTCACCAATACCCTGTTCTGATCTGTCAAGATTCCTCTCAAAGAGAACAGATGTTCTCTACACTAGCTTTAGGATTTTCAATCTTTCAAAGAAAAATGATTGTGTTGTCCACAGGATTAAAAGATTCTGTTGGTCCCTCATTGCCTGTAGAATGAAGTCTAAATCTAAGCTGTCCGATATGGGAGTTATTAAAATTCAAATAAAAATGGAGTTCTTCAGCTATACCGTATTTCAAGTACTTGATAGTCACATGCGGTTAGTGGTTATCACATTGGACAACACAAATATAGAACATTTCTGTCTTTGCAGAAAGCTCTGTTGGACATGCTCATCTCAATACCTTAGTGTAGCTAGTGAGGCCTTTTACAATCATCTCTACTTTTTCTTCTAACGTAATTTTTGGCTGTTACCTACCTTTCAGCCCTACGCATTTTTTCAATGTTCTCCAACCACTCGGTGCCCTTTTACAACTTCATGCCTCTGAACATGATGTTTTCTCTCCCTGAAATGCCCTTTTACTTTTTACTCTGGCAAACTCCTACCTACTTGTTAAGATCCAATTCAAACATCACCTTCCTTGTGAAGTTCCCTGACTTTCTTAAACACAATAATTTCTTCCCGTGTTGTTCTCTTTGCTCTTTGAACCCAGGTCTGTTGCCCTTATCACTGTGTTTTGTTATTATTTGCCAATAATCCTGTCTATGCTCTTGGAAGGGTGATCCTATCGGATTGTTCTATAGATCTCCCGTAATGATTACCTGAAATTGTTTGCTTGGTGCCCTTTTGATATGAGGTAATACATTTTCTTTTCTTTTTTTAAAAAAATATTTGTTTATTTTAGAGCGAGGGGGAGGGAGGGAGAAAGAGAGGGAGCAAAACATTGATGTGAGAGAGAAACATAAATTGGTTTCCTTTTGTATGTGCCTGACAGAGACTGAACTCGCAACCTAGGTACATGCCCCCACCAGGAATTGAACCAAAAACCATTTGCCTTGCAAGACAATACCCAACCAACTGAGCCATACTGGTCAGGGCAAGTTATATATTTTCATGTTTATGTGCAGCATGTTTGAAAAGATCACCAGTTGCTTTAGAAACCTTTCCTCTTTCTAGCAAGAACCTGGAATGACTTTGTCTTCCTGGGTGAAGGTCCACTTTTCTTCTAATGGATTCTGATTGGATTTGAGAGGGATGTGGTAGGTAGAGTTGACAAGGTCAAAAACAGAGGGAGTATATGTAGGAGCTGGCTCAGGTGTGCTCAGGTTCCAGTTGTTATACAAAATAATGTGTGTGGGTGGAGAGTAGAGAGGGAAGATTAAAAAAAAAAACAAAACCCCACAAAACCCCGAATAAACAAAGAAAAAACAGGTCATGGAGATAAAACTGGGAAATTGTATTTGACTTTTCCTAGTCTAAGGCCAAAGGCAACGATATAATAAAGTGGGAAGAGTTTTTATTACCATTTTGCAGAAAGGTACATTTTTTTCCCTCTTATAGTTTGATAGATTTTGATAAATCCTTGTGTCTCGACTTCCTGGGAAGTAAATCCTTCTGATCAAGGAATTAAAATCAGTTAGTTTCTCTTCTGTGATTATGGTTAGAATCATTCCGAAAAGCTTGTTTTCTTCTGAGAGTGCCATAAATTCTAATGACTCACAGTCTACGAGACCTTCACTGATCATTATTGCCTAGCCTGCACCGCAAATCTTACGGTCAATCATCTTCCCTTGGGCGCTCCGACCACGCCTGCTGCTGAGACCACGCCCACCTAAGTCGCTCTCCCTCCCACCTCACGGATCCTCCCCAGACACAGCAGAGAAAGATTATCATTGGTGGAGAAGTTGTCCTGGTCCCGCCCCTGGCGACGGCAATTGGCCAAATTGGCGTGGGGAGGTGGTGGTTGGCTGTCTGGGGACGGGTCCTTAGTCGTGCCTGTCAGAGTGGCTGGCGGCAGTGGCGGCTCTCGGAGCTGGGTTGTCAGTCAGGGAGCGGAGGGGGAAGATGGCTCGTCTGGACCCGTTTTGCTAGGAAGAAGGGGGGCAGGTGCTGCTGCTACCCGGGAAAAGGCAGAGCAGACGCCGTCGCTGTCTCTGCGAGCCAGACAAGTCGAAGTTCTGGAGGTGGAGCTCAGGGAGCCACTCTGGTGAGTCCGGTCGAGCGACCCAAGGCGGGCCCCCGAGGCGGTCGACAACTGATAACTTTTTTGTCAGGGAGGAGCCGGGGTGAGGCGGCGGCTGGGAGGGGGCCCGGACTTTGTTGCCCGGGCGGCGGCCTCGTTTGGGGTAACGGCTCCCGCGCGAGGCGACGCGGGGGAGGCGGGGGCGTCACGGGTCTCGGGCCGCGCGGAGCTGGGTGAGTGGGCTGCGGTCAGCGGCTGCTCGTCCTGAAGTTGGTTGCAGCCTTCCTGCCGCTGCCGCTGCTGCTGCTGCTGCCTGGGTGGCCGCAGCTTTGTGCACGCGGACTCGGGTCTTTTCTTCTTTCCAGCGAGGAGCGGTCCAGACCCCGGGCGTGACCCGGGTGCCACCGCCTCAGGGGGCCCGGCCGCCCCTCTGCAGGGTCGATGTGGGGTGGGAGCCCCTCACCCCCACTCCACGGCGGCTGATGCTCGGGTCCGACCCCTCCCATCCCTTCCTCCCGGTCCAGCGAGGCTGCCACTCTTGGTCCGGTCTAGTGGCCAAAATGGTCACCGTCGACCCCCCTCGTTGTTTGAAAGCTTTCGCCTCGGGCTTTGGTCCACTCCCCCCCCCCCCGCCTCGACCCCCGACCCCCGCAGAACATAGAGATTCCAAAAGCAGCCACGATTCTTTCCTTGGTTATTACACTAGATGTCCTCTTCAGCACTTGCCTCCTTCTTCTTATGAGTTACTGCTCTCCCGAGGCTGATCTTACTTAACATGCTCGAGAATCGTCTGGGTTTTGTCTGGAAATTGTTGCATTTAAAGACCCCAAGTCTGCATGCTTCAGCCAACCTGGGTGTCCGCCCTTCGGGGTGCACGTGTGTGCTTTGCACACTGACAGGGCAGACATTTCTGAAAGGTTGTAATGTCGCCCTGGAGGCTTTGCCCGCACGGACTGGGCGCTCGGGGAGATCCGCTACCGCGCGCCCGCAGCCGCCGCGCTCCTCAGGTAGGGGGAGCTTTTTCCCCGGCAGCCGCTGCTGATCTGCGGGACCGCTCTACGGGCGGCGGGACCCTGCTGGCCTTTTGCAGATTATTTGTCCTTTGAGTCACACGTAGTTTTTGGAGCAGGTATTCTACCTCTTTGGTTCATGTAACGCTTCACAGTTTGAGATTTCCAGCTTTGAAACTCTTATCTGCATAAAGCCATAAAGGTCCGTGTAACCTTGAGTCAATGTTATAGTCCTGGGAGGCTTGTTTTCCTGAAGAACGTTCTCTTAACGTCCAAACTCTAATCCCTCACACCGCCCCCCACCCCCTTGGCCCCTCGCGCCAAACTTTGAAGCACTTTTTTTCTTTATGTTAGTACATTTTAAGTTTGCAAGATGAATCTTAATCCAAAGCACCATATTGTTAAAGTGCAGGGAAAAGCAAGAAAGAAAAAAAAAATAGGCTTTAGGATCGTCTTAGCCAATAGTAGCTTCGAAGTCAGTTATTCAAATAATTCATTTAAATAAAATGGCAAGGGGGAAAACCATCAAATATTTAGAAAGCAAAATCTGGGTTTGGCTTATTTTTTTATTTACTATGATTATGATTATTACCATAGAGGGATTATATACCCTCTTAGTTATCAACATTAACAGCCCCTGGATTTGGACATCCAGACGAGGCATTGGATAGGTCAGTGTTATTCCTGATATGTTTCCTTTCTTTGTTGTGTTCCTCTTTTCTGAGATCTGCTCTTGGTTGCATTTTCTTTTAGAGTTGTGTCATTTTGATAGTTTAAAAATGTCGTACAGTTAAGATATTTGACTTACTCAGGATCCTGTTGTCCGATACTTACTTTATAGTGAATATTAAGAAATCTTTAAATAATGTTAGTATCAAGACCATTTTTGGGGTTTCAAGTTTACATTTTGTAAGTAATTGAAATTATGTCAAACAAATTTATTTTGTACTGACTCAGGCTGAATAGGTACTAGGGATACGAGAATGAATATTATAGCTCTTGTTATCAAGGAACTTACTGTTTAATTTACAAGACAGATAAGTAAAGTAACAATTACAATACCATGTGGTAAGTATGATTAGAGATATGCCTAGCATAGTAAGGGAGCAGAGTAGGAGATGGCCAGCAGCTTGGTGAAAGCTGAGTCAGCAGCACACAGTAGAGTTTTGAAGTGATATAATTTTGCCAAGTGCAGGAAGTGAGTACTTTTCCAAGAGGAGAATATAGTAAGTGAGAAGGCAAGGAGGCATGAGAAACCATGACAATGTAGAGAAGTCATGGTCAATGACAAATCCAAAGTCAATAACATTGACATTGACAAGACTTGAATGCGTGGTGGAGTGTGAGAACAGTGAGGTGGCTCAGGGCCAGACCAGAGCCTTGTTACCTGGCTAAGGGGATGGGATTGAAGGTGATCAAGAAGAAGCCATTTCACGGATTTGTGTTTTAGACCATCAGTCTGCCAGAGTGAGGTAGAATCTGATAGGTCCTGTCACCTTTGGGGGAAAAGAAGGAGAAATCAGGACCCTGAGGATTTGGCTTGGTCTCGTTGCTTGGAAATGAATGGAGGGAAGATGATAAATTCTACTTTTGCTTTTTTTGAATTTGAGGAAGCTATCGAGAGCATTCAGGTGAAGATGTAGGTGTTTGGATCTATGGATGTGGAATTTATAAAGTAAATCAGGATTAGAGGGAAGATTGGGGTTAAACGGAAGCTGTATTGATTTGGTTATATTGAAATGACTCAGGGAAAGCCTTTAGTATGATGAAAGCACTCGCCAGAGAACAGACTGATAAAGAGCAGAAACAGGGAGAAGAATAGCGTGAAAGAGATAGAATAGTACTGTAGTAGTTAGAGAATGCTGTAAAGATCTGTCAAGTATGGTGAGCACTCCAGTGACCAGTGAGTTTGTCAGGAGTCTATCAGGGACTTTAACAAGTACTGTTTTACCTGAGTGGTGATTCAGAAACCAGTCTTCAGAGAAGTGAGAAAGAATGGATGATGATATAGTAGATATGCTTGAGTGAGGCATTTCAAGAAACCTGAAATAAAAAATTGAGAGAGGGGATAAAGGTAGCTATAGAGCAGCGGTTCTCAATCTTAGCTGCACATCTACAATCATCTGGGGAGCTTTAAAGGATCCCAATATCCAGGGAGAACCCCCATGCCAATTTGTGGGGTGGGGTGGGACCTAGACATCATTGTTTATTTCAACAGCTTTATTAAAGTATAATTTGCATTTAATAAACTACACATATTTAAAGTGTGCAGTTTATTTGACATGTTTACACTTGCAAAACCATCACCACAATCAAAATAATGAACATATTCATCACCTGAAAAATTTTCTCCTTTCTCTTTGTAATTTTTCCCTTTAATCCCCTGGAAACTACTGGTTTACTTTCTGTTACGAAAGAATAGTTGCACAGGTGTTTTAAAGTTCCCTGGGTAATTCCACTGTGTAGACATGTTGAAAACCACTGCAGAGGAATGTTTGTTTCTTTACATTGTTAAGAAAATCAAGAAGTAAGATATTCAGGAAGGATTAGCTATTTATTGGAACTAAGTTCCTGAGACAATAGAAGTGGATGGAATTTAGAGCTTTGACCAATAAGAAAGGAAGACAATTCTGGAAGCAATGTCTCTAACAAAGATTATGATGTTAAAGATAGTGTATTTGTTATCAGCATTGAGGCTGCCATCACATAGTATCAAGATTGGTACTTTCAAGTGCTAAAAGAATGTTAGAGAGCATCTTAATATTGTGAAAATGGATGCCCTTCAGAAAATCCCTTAAATAGATCCTGAGACCCCTGGCACCACCATGTAATGCTTTGTCATTTTCTTGGAGGGGAACAGATGGAATTAACAGTTTGGCTATTGCTTATTGTTGAGAACCAAGGACTGCCAGAGTCTTTTTGGCCCTCTTGAAGTTACACTGCATATTCGCACTGAGGAAAGAGAACATTTAACATTTGAAAATCTGTTTACAACATTTTTGCTCAGAAGAAATCCTGTTTGGTTGCCTCTTGGATGTATCCCTCTTAAAGACATTGGGGGAGAAAATTATTCCTCTATCTCCCAAATGAGACAGAGAAGAGTTGTGATTAGAAGAGTCAAAGGCCCATACTTTTTATACTGAGAAAGATAATACCCATATTCCCCCCATTCACTTTTTAGGAAAAAATTTCTGGCTCGTGATTTGGATGTAGCTAAAAGCTGAGCCTTACTGGTTCCGAGGTCCAGAGCTTGTTCCTTACTTTTGATTTTTACCTTTGATAGAAGGCTAAAAGCAGAATGGCTAATACCTAAATATTTTTTAATATTATACTTGATCATAAGTAAAGGTGGGGTGAAAACTTTTGTTTGATTATTTTTTAGAGTTCTACAAATTTCTTCCACTTCGAGATAATCACTATTAACACTTTGGAGAATATTCTTTTAGGTCCTTTTAATAGGTATTTACCTTTCTTTAACAAAAAGAAAACATATCGAATGTAGTTTATTTTTTTAATTTGCTGTTTTGTCACTATCTTATTTTTACTTAATAGAATGAATGCTTACTTGAGTCAATAAAATATTATTGGTTTACAGTGTAACATCATTTTAAATGTGTGGCTAATATTCCAGCAAATGGATTTACCATCATTTATTTAATCACCATTTCAGTTGTTGAAAATTTACTCTTTTTCCTGTAATTTTGAATGAATAATGTAACAGTTAGCTTCTTGATAGATTAATCATTGCCCATATCTTTATTTCCTTAGGATAAATTCTGAAGTCAAAAGTTATGCATATTTAAATTATTTTTAATAGATATTAATAGATTCCCTTACAGAAAGATATAATTAATATTCATATCTATTAATTGTTTTGAGAAAGCCAGCAACCTCACCATATTTTGCACTAGCAATTAAAAACTGCCATTTTGATATGAAAAGTTGGATCTTCTATAAATTTTATTTCATTATTAGTGACACTAAATATTTGTATTTTTGGTGACTTATTTGTTA